CCCCCCCCCCAAAAAAAAAAATCCAAATCCATCGAAGCACAGGCCGAAGGGCCCCAGGAGGCGGAGTGCGATGGCGCGCAGTTTCAGAACGAAGAGAACATCATCACCATCGAGAAGCTTGGTTGGTTCTAGGGGCTTGTGGGTTTTAGGAGTTTTGGTCTAAAGGCTCTAAGAGAAGCTTGGTTGGTTCTGGTTTTCGGGGCTCTAGGGTTTTTTTGGGGTTTTTTTGGTCCTAAAGTCTAAAGGCTTCTAAGATTCCACAAGGGTTAGGGGTTTCACCATCGAGCATCTTGGCTTGGGGGGGTTTGCAGGGTTTAGGGTGCTGGTTTTTAGTTTTTAGGGATTCATCGGGTCGAGGGGTTAAGGGCTTAGAGGGAGATGTACGGCTAGGGCTAGGAGGGCAGGATGTAGGGATTTGGGTTCTGTAGACTTTAGTCTTGCAGTCTTACATACGGTTGCCACTCACCATCGCAATCTTGGTTTAGCTGTAGCGCTCTTAGGAATTCTGTCCTGTTGTTATAAAGCGCCAGAGATTATTCAACACGTATTTGCATTACGGTTTTAACGGCACTTGAGTTGGAGGGTTACATGGTTCAGGATACTTCAGACAGACGTCCGTGAGTTATTCTTGGTTTCGGGTTTCAGGGTGTAGGGCTTAGCATCTTGGCTCTTAGTGTTCAGTGTTGTTCATAGGGCTTCCGGCTTGGCATCTTGGTTTGGGGGTTGGTTTAGGGGGGGCACAGGTTCAGAGGTTTCACCGCCGAGGATCTTGGATTAGGGGCCCGCGAGGTGAGTCATGAGGTGTGTCGTTCTATGTTTGCGTTGTTTGTTTTATCGGGTTGGGCATACTATGTGCTTTTCGGTCTTTGGACTTGTGTGTGGGTTTGTAGTTCTGATTGTGCAGGCTTGGTGTGTAGAACCCAGGTGTGTCAAGCAACAGCAATCTGAGGCGTTGGCTTTCGGCGTTTTGGTTTAAAGAAGCCCTGCGAAGAATCCCGAATAGCTTAGCTAAGCCCTAAAGCCGCAAACGCTACTTGTAGCATACAACACCTCGCCCCAAAACAACTCTAAACTACTCTAGCCTAAACCCTTCAACATACCACAAAACCCCTCAAGCATCGTCTGTAAACCAAAGATTTACACTAAGCCTCTAAAGCACCCCTAACCATGACTTTTTTGACCCATACACGCCATAGCTCAGGAACGATCATGGCTGCTCCTTGGCCAGCGTTCCGGGCTACTTTAAAGGTTTCTGCAGGGAATCGAACTGTGGCTTTTCATAGGGTTTATAAGGTTTGTGAACGGTTTGTGGCTTTAGTGTTCTATGCGACCTGTTCAAGGGATCCCGACGTATGGTTGGTAGGGTTTTGACAGCAGTTGCTTTCTGCAGAGCCTTTGTTTTGACGGCCTATCTGTAATTTCGGAACCAAGAATACGAGAATCAGGTAACACACATAAAGTACGAACGAAAGGCTGTACGAAATCCTTGTAGGACGCTTATACAGCAAGCACTGTTTTGGAGCGACTATCCTGGCAGAGCAGACAACCCTAAGCCCGAACGCCTCTGAAGATAAGCATAGGTTCAATATAGGAGTCTGAAGATTAGTAAGAGCACACTCTTATATTCGCTCTGTAGCCATGGTGGAATATGGCCCAAAACTATGTACAAAAAAACCCAAACTCTGGGCCCCCGATGTCAACCCAGAGAGTCTACAGCCCACACCTCAACGACGAACCCCAGCACTTGCGGTTCTACTAGTGATGGACAACAACGCCTGACCCTGAACTATCGGAATTGTTGCGTATACTCGTTACTCTCCACCATGGGAAATCGGAATTACTTTTTATGTTCCTTATTCTATAAGCCATGGGAAATACTGTGTATTCCCCACTCTAAACCACGGGAAGTGTTGTGTATTCCCTATTTGGAGAATGCAGGAATTTTGTCCATCAGCTGCCTGGCTCCGCGTACCTAAGCAGAGGCGGCCTTTCCAACTACGAGTACTCCGTGCAGTACTGCCCGGACCAGGACATGAACTAGGGTTGATACAGGTTTTCCGCTTCATGCTGTTATGGTGCAGGCTTGCTCCTTGAGTCTGAACTCATGCTTATGGGAGGGTCAAGCCATTTTGGCTCAAGCTGCCCGCAGATCATCAAAGGCACACAAAGCTTTCCGAACTCCCGAACCCTGAAATTTTCAGATACTGCCAAAGAGATATAGCAGCCTTTCTTCCGCAAGGCACCGCCTCGCATCGGATTCGGGCAGCCAGGGCTTACCTAGAGTCACTTAGAATCTGAAATTGTCGCGCCTTTTTCTGGGTTCTTTAAACCTTAAACATCCTTATAAGCCTTGTAAGCCCTAATAATCCCTTAAGCCTAGACCGTATTGGGTTTTGACCAGCGAAGACTTTGGTACATATTGGGAGGTCGCAGATACTCGTACAGACAAGAAACGGTTTCATTGTGTAGGGCTTTAGGGTTTTTTTGCTTTCGGGCTAAACCATGACCGACCCCTGAAGTACGGGCGCAGCCCTAGTTTGGTGGGAGGCAGAACATGAGGCTTGTGGGTTCAACGGATATCGCTTTAGCCTTGGGCCGGAGGACAACTTGATGATCAACATCGTGAAGCCCTTCAGCGTGCGCATGGTGCTCGAGAGCCAGACCTGCCCGCCAGCTGGCGAGGAAAGCCTGGGTCAGACATGTTAGGATCGGTTACAGTCCATGGTACAAGGGGGGGGGTGTTAATTGATCAAGGTCTCTATGATCTTAGCTTGGGGGTTTTTCGAGAGTCAGGATTTGGGATTGAGGCTTTTGTCAACATGTGAGGATTGCAAACTTGGGGCTCTGGGGCTAGTGGTGTCTAGAGTAGTAAGGGTTTTGGGCTGCAGAGCGTTGGGGTTGTTTCGATTCCGGGCTTAAGGCTTTGTCTAGGGAACAGGGAGTTGAGTAGAACATGGAAGCATCACTATTTCTCTTTGTTGCATGATAGTTCTCCAACTCACGGATGCGTCCCGGGGTGCCGCATGGTTCCCCGACAGAGTACGCCATTGTTTCGGACGGACCTTGGAAGGGGCTTCATCTAGGAAACTGCCGGCATGACAACGTCGGGTTAAGGGCTTTCAGCTTCTGTCTTTATGATAAGTCAAGTCTTTATGTCTAAGGCGTCTAAGATGCCCGAACTGGAAAGCACACTGCGTCGCATGCTCCGGAGACGGGGCCCCACGTATGCAGCCTCATCCGTTGGCCATTAGCCATGTATTCCTTAAGCCCTAAACCCTGCATTCCCTAAGCCCAAGACCCTACACTCCCCTAAGGCCATAAACTCTATATTTCCCCAGCCCTAAGTCCTATGTTGCGGAATTCCTAAACCCTATATAGTCCCCAAGCCCTTCTGTCCCCCAAGCCGTCTTCAGCAGCACAGTGCCTGCCTCCCCGCATGTACAACACCCGAAGCCCATATTGACTTTGGTGGAGAAAGAAGCTTAAAACGAACAAATGTTAACAACTAAGCCCATAAAACCTAAACCCTAAACCTTCAACCAACAACCCGCAGAGAAGCTGCCAGGTTTGAGGCTATGAGTTCAGCTTGTGAGACTTACGATCTTCGGGAAGCAACTGGGTTTAGGTTTTGGGTTTATAGGGCCTGGGTTTAAGGGTTTTGGGTTTAGGGTTTGGTCTTCTAGGGTTCAGTGGTTCTCAGAAATCAGCGCTGCTGCTGCTCGCAACGAGACAAGAGATCGCGCTGGAGGAGATCGCTGAGATCTCTCCTGTTCTTTCCGCCGTCGTGTGCCTATAGCCGACTCTACCCAATGAGGGGCGAGGGTTTAGGATTTTAGGTATCCAGCGTTGTAGCGTACAAAGGTTAGAAATAGTGAAGAGCTTTTGGCGCAGGGCGTGCCGTACATTGCCGCATAGAGCGGTTGGCAATGTCCAGCCGCTTACAATTTTGTGGCGCAAGCCGGGAATTAAGTCTGAACTACTGGTGCTGTGGTCTTACCAACCTAAGATGGTTGCTATAGATCTCCTGTGAGGTTTGGCGCTTGTGCGAAAACGGCACGACGACACTCTGATGTAGACCCTGCCCATGCTGATTGAACCCCTGAATCGGAAGATCCTGAATACAAGAACCCCATATAGAAGCTCTTGAACGAGGACCCTGTAACCCTTCGTGGTGTAGATTCCTGGTCACATTGAACTGGGTATCCGAGTGTTACAAGGCCATGAAGCGAATGGTGTGTCATGGGTTCTGCATTGAGCATCGGGGGCCGCCGCCGTTTTTTACAGTCTGTCCGCAACGCGCCCGAAGCAGCTGGAACTTGAACGCAGGCACACGTAGAGTCGGTTGAGAGTTTAAGGTTTATAGGGTTTGGGTTTTAGGGTTTAGTATAGGGTTCGTCAAGGGCTAGAGGGCTTGCCGGATTACCAGTTTAGGGCCCTCGGTCCGGGGCTTGGCTCCCCCACGGCGACGGGTAATGTAGAAGCCTGAACCACTTGTGACAGCGACATCTGCTTAGAGGCCATATGTGTATGTACTTAACAACGTAGAATGCGAGGTCTGCATATGTGTGTGTTCGTATACAGACATATAATTTCCATATTATACATATATGCCACGCATATTTAACATTCTACATGTATAGATGCATTCCCCAAAAACCTTGTCTAATTTCGAAAGCCCGCTTAATGCAGGGTTTTGGGGAAGCCTGCTACCTCATGAAGGCCGATGCTTCGTTGTTGTGTCCCATGTCGGTTGGTGACGTCACATTGAGTACGCGAGTTTCTGAAAGTTCTGGACCTTGTAGTGAAGCGCCCCTGCATCTTAAGTTCTATGATCCCTCTCTATCTGAAAATTGAAACGGTGCATGCAGGTCTCCTTGGGGGATCATGGCATCTCAACGTGTCTTCTTGCTGGCATTGTCTCTGCCCTCCGTCAAAAGATTGAACTTGTGTAAGGCTTAGCCATACCAGGAGCTGGGAGAAAAAGTGCTTCATTGAGAGGGGTTTGGCTTCAGGAAGTAGCAGCAGTACTCTGAATTGGGTTCCAAGTAGCATGTCTTCAAAGCAAAATTCATGATTGGTGAATGTGGGTTGCCTTGAGCACTAAGCCCCATACAATTCTCCCAGAATTGCCAAAAACCCCAATAGCCCAACCCTAAGGCCCCAACACCCTAAAGAGTGGGTGCTCCTTGCATCATGTGGTGGCCTTTCCAATTGGGATAGGTTTGTTGTTTGAGAGGGGGGAGGGGAGAATGATAGCAGAACTTACAACAACCATCAAACTGTGAGAGAATACTACTACCAATTATCCCGACCCGTTTGATGCCTTCTATAAGCCTTCCTTGCCGTGCTTAGGATCGCCTCTGCTTCGGCTTCTCTTCGTGGAAGCAGCTCGGACCAACGGAGCCGGCAGGGTTTCAGACTTAGGGCGAAGCCAGGTTCCCCAGCATGAAGGCATGTTCGTTCGCCGTGCTGAATGCTGCAAGCATGCCAAAATGGGAGTATGTGTGTATCTTTGTATGTATGTATGTATGTATGTATGTATGTATGTATGTATATATATATACATATATATATAGACACATTCAGTATGTTGTCGGATTCCACTGTGTAGCCTTGCATTTCGCATGCCAGTTGACTTGTTATTTGCCGATTCAGCCATGCTACAACTGCGAAAGGTTTGGGGTTTACGGCTTGTATCAACTCTGAATAACAAACTGCCTTGAGCCTCATCCTCCGGCGGGCTGTAGCTATGGAAGCCCAAAATGCTTTTACCACTCAAGGCCACAATGCATAGCACCCCGGTATAACAGCATAGCAGCATAGCATAAACCCTAGAAGCGGTAAATCCTAAACCCAAAGCAACAAATCCTAAGTTTCAACCGTTGTCGTTTTGTCCCGCCCCTATAGACCTTAAGCATCCTAGACCCTCCAAACCCTTATAAACCCCTAAGCCCCAAACCCTAAGCCCCATGAGCCCTTGATGAAAGAGGCGAGCTTCAGTGCAGCGGTGAAGGCAACCTGCCGGCGGGTCCAGCGGCTTGGCGCCGATGGCTTAGGGTTTAGGGCTCAGGGGTTTAATCCGGGGTCTGATCATAAAGCAATCGTTCTAAATTGCACCGCAATATAGTAGGATGCGTCATGGATCGATATACTCCGCAACGGTATTCAAACTTTTGGGTAAAACTTAGAGAAGTTTAAGGCTGGTTCAGCTCTTCGTGCCCTTGAACAGGACCCAAGCGTTTTCCTAGTGTTCGCAGTCGTTTGCTATAGAGTTTTGTGATTCTCTCTAGCACTGTTTGCCTTCCGAGGTCTAAGGGAATTAGGGTTTAGGGGTTTGTAAAGACGGTAAGTGGCGTAAAGGTTGCCTACTTTTTGCGAGCTGGAGTGTCAGCGTCGATCCCGGCCATGCGGCAGTAATACGAGAAGCACGTCGTCAGTCTCAGCCTTCAACCATATGTGCTGTAGGCACCTGCGACCCGAAGACTTATAAGCTAGTATAACCTGGACCTTAGACGCTACACCCCAAAGCCTACAAATCCTACCCTAAAACCTACAAGTCGCAGCCGTAGCTCGGCTCCGGAGACTTGGATCACAAGCTTCGGGCTAAACGCGAGGGAATTGTAAGGCGGTAGCTTGGACCTTCACATGCGGCTCTTCGGTTCAGATCTCCTCATTCTCCTATTATGTATCGGGCCTGATCCATGACCGATTTTCAATGTAAAACCAACTAACCCCTGCCATCCAGTGAGGGGTCCGCTTGGAAACAAAAATCCAGAGCCCAAAGACCCTTAAGAACCAAGCCCTTCATGCAACTAAGTCTAAATCGTTGATAGACCACTCGAGCTTTAATTCAAATCCTACAACCTTATTCCGTAACTAAGGCCTCTCGGGTTTTTTGGATTTCCTTCTGCAGGTCTGCTTTGGTGGCACCTTGCTCACGCAGACCTTCAATATTCACGTGGTGAGTCCCTGGACCCGGCAAGTATTCAAGGCATCGGTTTCTATAAGGCTTACTGCAGGAGTTCTACTTAAGGACAATCCCGGAGAGCCCCATATTCTGCCTTAAGAGCAGATCCTCCTTTGTAAACACCCCTGCAGCTCCACCAACGGCAAACATAAGACCCTGATGATGTATACTTGAGGGTGTCTGGATATGTTACGCGGTTTTTAACACATAGAAAACGGACAAGCGCGACCCGAATCCTGCACCAGCTTGCGGAAGAGCATGCGCTTCTCAGGAACGTCAAGCCCGAAACTTTCCAAAAAAGGAAGGTTTACGGGTCCGTTACAGGGTCTGTTGAAGGGTCTGGCAGAGATTCTAGATGTAGTTCGAAGTATTTTTCCACATTAATTATATGCATGGTCAGAAAATCGGAGTTCCTTCGCATGAAGGATACTACTGTTTAGGGTTCTCTATTTGGGTGCCCTCTTCTTCTGGGACCCAAATCTGCTACAGAAGCTGACATCATTGAACCATGGTGTAAGGTTTGAACCTTCTAAGCCCTAACCCCCAAGCTCACGTGGCAAGTCCCAGTGTGAGAACATACGCCTTCAAACTTAAGCCTTCGACGCCTACAAAATGCCGGGAAGGCTTTCGAATAATCAAATAACAACAGCAACAACAATAATAATAGTAATAGCAACAATAAATAGTAATAAACATAATCGTCATCGTCATACCCCTAGGGCTCCAAGTATACAAATAGTACCTACTTTGGGGTCTAAAGTCTGTAGATAGTACCTACTTTGGGCTATTTGGAGCCTCAGGGTACTGTCCCAGAGCCCAGGTCACGATGGTGCCGTGGGCATTGTGGATTTGAAGGCCCAGCACGGATTTGCGTGACCGGTGTTGCAGTAGAGTTGAAGGTTTTTGATGTTGGGTGTGGGGGCGTTGAAAGGTTTAGGCCGGTTTTGTTGTGGGAACGAGATGAGATGTCTGTATACCCAGGGTGAAGATACCCAAGTAAGAACCAGGGGTGTGTTAATCAGGTTGTTTCCTGCAGCGCAGAGCTACGCGCCTACGGCCTGAACACAAAGCCTGGGAACCTAAAATGGGTTAGTAGAAGAAAAAGGAACCACTATGCCGCGAGGTTTTAACCCTGAACCCCAAGCTATCTTCTGTTGAGGCCCTGGTGCTCATGAGCCCATCTGCTTTTTGTTTACAAGCCGTGGTTAGTGTCCGAGGCTTTCAAAATAAGTCCTGTCCAACCCTGCCCAAACCTTAAGCCATACACCCCAAACCAGAGACCGCGTCCTATGTGAAATCCGACTTTTTCTACTGCTCTCGGAGGCAGAGGGCCCTCAGTCGGCTGAGTGCGATGGTGCCCAGTTCCAGAACGACGCCAATGTCATCACCATCGAGAACGACCACGGCTGCAACCTAGCTGTGGTTTGTACAGTTTTGAAATTTAGAGCTTTAGGGTTTATGGCTCATAGAGATGAGTGTTTAGGGTTGTCGGTTTGAAGCCTTGAGTGGGTGTTTTGAGGAGACAACCCCCCCGTCCCTGCCAGCCCTGCGTAGGAAGATAGTCATACACACAAGTCTTCTGCTCGTTAATTGGGATTCTTATCGGCCGGAGTATCACCTAGTAGTCAAGCATGCTGCTTTGGCGGCTTGGCAACGTAATCGCAAGGATTAGGCTAGATCGGACCCTCAGTTCCCGTTGCAGTCCCTCATCAACAGAAGTTACACTACATGAGAAACTGGACAACTAGGATCAAGCAACCCATTCCCGCAAGCCTTGTCTGGAACCCCGTGCAAGCCTTACCTTAACACCTGTAATCTTGAAGCCTGTAGCCCCAGATCACCCCAGATCCTAGAAGTCCTGAAGTCTATACACCCTAAACTTCCTAAACCCTTCTACGTCGGGGTTCGGGATGCATCTGCAGACGGAAAGGAACCGGGAAGCACGACAAAACAAGCAAACCAAACCCCGAAGAACCCGGTTATAAACCCTACATCGAAAGCCTATCAAACCCTCCTAGCTTCCAAAAACTACCTCGGTTAACCCACGAAGTCTTAACAGATCGGAGCACAGGTGGTCTTGCCAAGTACGAGTACACGGTCCAGTACTGCCCAGATCAGGACCAGAGAGACTTTGGTTTTAGGGCTGGGGGGCAGGGATGTGACTTACCGATCCAGTCTGCAAGCTGGAGGGATTTCTGGAAGAGGTTCGGAGCAGCCCCTCCTCAAAAAAAGTTAGAGGTTAGGATCTTCGTGCTGTAGGGCTTTCAAGATCTTCTGAAGCCAATAGCCCAGAAGAATCCGATCCCAGCATATCCCAGCCGGCTTTGATGTTGGGCTGGTGGGTGGGAGGTTGACGCCCGAACTAAACCCCCCAAACCCCTAAACCCCTATATAAAAGCGAAACCGGAAGCCCCTGAACCCAATCAAAGTTTCAGGTTGGGCCCTTGGTTCCGACTCACGGGTTCCTGTTTGTCTGTTTTTCCCCTGTGACCTGCTGGGATATAATATGGCTGCACACCCATAGCCCGGGCCGGCTGCTGTAATGCAGAGGTCTGAATCTCACTGTGGTTAGTCTCAGTACCCCCCGGCAGTCCCTGAATGGCTCGAGTCTCTAGTGTACTATAACCCTTAAGTGCTTGTTCACGGCCCTTGCGCTACAGCTATAAAGCACAAGACTGCTTGATGGAACCTCCGGAGATCTCACACTGTCACTGAGCCCTCGAACTCCGAAGCGTGCATGCTTAAGCTGGGGAAGGACTCTCCATCACCTTTATGCAGCTTTCAATCTTTCTGCTGGCTTTGCTTCGGTAGAGTGTTAGATTCCCAAAGCCTTCAAGAACACCGGTGTCATGGTATGGCTTAAACGAGATTTCTCGGCATAAGGGTTTAGAACGGGAGGCTGCCGGAACCCCAAGACCGAACCCTCAACCCCTGGGAGGACAATCTTGTGGTGAACCTGGTGAAGCCCTACAGCATCCGGATGGTGCTGGAAAGCCAGTCCTGCCCTGCAGCTGGTGAGGCCACTTCTGTTTTGTTTGTTGCTGAGGAGAACCTAGGCCCTAAACGCTAAGCATGATCTGTAAGCAACATACAGGATCAAAAGCTGCAGGAACTTCTGCTCGCAGACTTCTTACTTTTGAGTTGTAGATATAGTTCTATGGCCGCAGTGTTATGATACATGCATGTGCTTATGTGTATGGATGGATGGATGGATGGATGGATGGGTGAGTTATGGGTTATGCTTATAGCTAAAGATATAGATATAGATATAGGCATAG